TTCCAAACCCCTTCCTTATTTTTCATTTGCATTAATAAAAGGTTAGTATCTTGCTTTTCAGGCTAATTTGAGGTGCTGAGAATCATTTTAACATATTATGATATTAAATACATAATATCATAATTTCTAGTGGGATGAAAATCCCAGTTTTTACCAGCTGCTAATGGCCTCTGGAGAGATTCGGGTTGATGAGGTTTGTGATGTCAAACAGCTGTAGATGAAAATACGAGAAACAGTTGACAATAATTAAATAATACAAATGTAAAACTACAAATCTGAGACAAGCACATAATTGTCATGGTATTATTTTATATGATTTTTATGTGATATTAAATACCATTAAATTGTCATACTCTTAGCAAAGTCAAAAAAAGAACATATTAATCTGAAGATTTATATTTCAGACAGTAAAGAAATAAAAAACCACAATATTTAGTTACCATGAACAAACTTCTGAAGCTTTTCTTTTTTTAATGTGAAATTGATTAACTAAAGGGTGGTAATTTATTGAGTTCACCCAGCAATTTAAGGTGAACAATTCACAGAAATGACACAAATGTAACCCCTTTTCTTGTGTATGAATTATCTTAGAGCAAGCTGTAGAATTTCAAAGTGTACCTGTAATTAAACATATTTGCTGAACAATTCTAAATCTGCAGTTTATTTGCAAAAGCTTTATATACAAATTCAATATTCAAAATTCAAGATGCTTGATTAGGTCAGTAGGCACAAAATATGTTTTTATCTCAGAAGCTTGATTCTTCATACCAAAAATCTGATATGAATCGTTCAGAATTTGCTTTTTGCAAATACTCTTCAATAATATGCTCAAAATTCATCAAATGTTATTGTTAGTACCTCTATTCAACAGAGTCATATCATGGAATCATAGAATGGTTTGGGTTGGAAGGGGCCTTAAAGATCATCCAGTTCCAACCCCCCTGCCATGGGCAGGGACACCTTCCATTAGACCAGGTTGCTCAAAGCCCCATCCAACCTGGCCTTGAACACTTCCAGGGATGGGGCATCCACAACTTCTCTGGGCAACCTGTTCCAGTGCCTCACCACCCTCATAGTGAAGAATTTCTTCCTTATATCTAATCTAAATCTACCCTCTTTCTGATTAAAGCCATTACCCCTTGTCCTATCACTACACACCCTTGTAAAAAGTCCCTCTCCAGCTTTCTTGTAGGCACCCTTCAGGTACTGGAAGGCTGCTATAAGGTCTCCCCGGAGCCTTCTCTTCTCCAGGCTGAACAACCCCCAACTCTCTCAGCCTGTCTTCATAGGAGAGGTGCTCCAGCCCTCTGATCATCTTCATGGCCCTCCTCTGGACTCGCTCCAACAGGTCCATGTCCTTCTTATGGTGGGGGCCCCAGAGCTGAACGCAGTACTCCAGGTGGGGTCTCACGAGAATAGTTACAGAAAGCAAACAATACCCAGCTCAAATTACTAAAATGTTTATGTACCTTTCCAGTGAAAGGAAACCTGGTCAATAAATGGAATTTAACAGCATAAAAGAACAAACTATATTTACTTACTCAGCTTTTGAAGGAAGAATGATATTAACATACCTGCAATATATGTAAATCCCTTAAATATATATGAGTAACTTATATTGCTACTCCTACATATTTTTTCTAACAAATTCATTGTTTATCTAAATTTTAAATATAAAATGAAAGTATATTTAGTTGTGGAGGCTGGACGTATTAGATTTATCTGAATTATTTTGATCCCTAATTTGGAAAATACATTTTTCAGCTGCTAAGCTATACACTAATATGGGAAGCTACTTACCTAAGCTTTTTTTTTCAGTGCTACATAAAATACTAACAGAACAATTAAACCATTGTGTCAATGGGAGTTGCAGTGCATACAAGTAATAAATATATGGAGCTTATTCTCTGATATCTTCATTGTCTGAGTTTCTTTCCTTTTACTGACAGGCTTATAGAACTACAAAAGCCATGAAAACTCAATGCTAACTTAAAAATGCAACCTCTGTTACTTTAATATTTTTGTACTGTGTATCAAGGCATTGTTTACATTAGATAATGAAATGGAGATGGGGCAGAAAACACACTTCTGAAAGACTTTCTACACAAAAGGATGAACACGTAGTTCTTTGCACAAAGCATTAGAAAATACTGTGATATTTTATTATTAAAAATGCTGCTGAAAAGTTTATACATATGTGTCCAGCCATATATATCTTCTATCATTACTTAAGGCAAAAAACAAAAAATTGCAAAACAATAACAGAAGAAACCATTAAACCCTGCGTGTCTCTTAAGGTCAAGAATATAAGCCTGGGAAAGTACTTTTGTTTTTCTTTTACAGTTTGCAAAGTATATTTTGATATCATTATTATAGAATTCTATGAAGACCCTATAAATCTGTTCCCTCTATAAATCATACATCAGTCCAGATGTATCAAATTATTAAATTAACTTGATTGTAATTACTTTTAAAAGCTAAAATCATTCACTTACAGGAACTTCTTTTTTACCCAAATGTCACAAGCCTGAAACAGTACTGTACATATTGCTAGCAGAAGACAATTGGAAGTACTAAACAAATACTGTAATTCACATTACAAACATACCCAACTGATTATGATGCCAAGCATCTTTACCTTTTTTTTTACTTTTTTTCCTTTTTTTCTTTTTTTTTCCTTTTTTTTCCCTTTTTTTTAGGAGTTATGAACTGCTGCATCTCAGCTGAGGCATTACATAGGTGGTGGAAATGGCCTGGTATAGAGTCAGCATTAATCAACAGTATGTGATGGATCAGTGAAGAAAAAAAAAACAGTTTTCCATTTGCTACTAGTTGTATTTTGGGGCTGTTGCTTCATCACATTCCAACCTGAGCATCCAGGTCAGGTTTATAGCACAATTATTACAGATAAAGGATTATATCAGCCACATGTTGCATTTTTATCATGTCATTAACTTTCTTTTTGTTTCTTTCCTTCAGAACCTGTTTTACCGCCTGCTACAACAAGGAGTTGTGCAGATTAATAGACCTCAGTGAATCACCTTGTCTTTGATTTTATTTGTAGGGGTGACTATTCCAAGACATTTTATTAGGAAAAAAAAGCATAGAAAACAAGAAGAGGTACAAGGCATCTTGTGTTAGATACTTATGGGACATGATATTGATGCAGCTTAGTTGTGAATTAATAATAGAAAATACATCTGGGATAACCATGTTCAAGTGCAGACCAATTTGTTCAAATATCTTTGGTTACTATCTTTCAATGACGGAGTAACTTTCAAAGACAAAATATAAAGCAATCTTCATCTGCGAGAACTTATTTCTAGCTTTTCATGTTCAAATCAGTTGTTTGAATCAAACTGTTAAGTTCCTTTGTTTGATAGCTCTGCTTGGCCCCTGGTTTCCTAGTGAAGGAAGGGCAAAAGGCAATAATCAGCTAAGAATTTTGCCCTTCCTGAGAGTGATGCTTTCTGGGATTTTCAGTTTTATTCAGATGCAGAACAGCTGACAATGTCTCTGCTTCTCTCTCCATAACGTTCACTGACTATGGGACTGCTGTGTAATAAATCAGCAAAAAAAGTATTATCTGACAGGTACGCTCTCAAGAACAAAACAGGATACTGGGCAGAGAAGTTCTTTACACATTGATCATTTCTGAACACTTTAAAATACAGCCAGCCAACCAACCCACCTTTTCCCCACTTTCAAATTGTGGTTTTACTTCTTTTAGCAAAGCTAAGAAGGTGCTTTCTCAGCTGAGATTCCGCTGCAACTGCTGGTGAATATAGACCTAGTTTTCTTCAGAAAAGGCTGACCAAAACACAGGCTTTCTTTGCTTTTGTCAGGGCACAAATCTCTTCCTTATGTATCACAATAACCAAGAACTACAAACTGGACTCTGAATATATATTACTGGATGCTTCTTGGTTCAGTTCAACAAGCTTAAAACAACAACTATTTTCTTCTGTGTTTTTTTTCCCTCCATTTTCCAATCCATTGCTGTGTTGCAATTTAATAAAGGCTAACATAAAATTAAATTATAGAAAAAAAAGTTTCAGAAAAGAACAACAATCTCCTATGAATACTTTAACATGCACTAGTGTAACCTGTAAGAGAAAATATGCAGGTCACACAGACAACTGTATCCTCTGCATGATACCATGGCCTCATATAAATGAAACATGTTAGAAAAAACTCATGGTTTTTGTTTACCACTAATAATTAAGAAGAAATTCCTCCTTTGGGCTTGGAGGAAACAGAGGTGATATGATGAATGTATATACACATAGGTCACAACTGAATGCACAATCTTTCTAAAAGCTCTCTTCAAACTGAAAACATCAATAAAAGCTTCTTCTTTTTTTTTTTTTTTTTAAACTCACAGCTATGTACATTTTTACAAAGTTTCTTTAAATATAGTTCAGGCTGGCAAGTCATCTCTTTGCACAGAACTATATGTATTTTACTGCATAGTCAGTCCTCCTCTTTTTTTTTCATTTTTGTTTTTAATAATAAAATTCTATTTCTCCCATCTGGATTACAGCTTCATATGCTGGGTAAAAGCCCATGGTGATGTCTTTGTTTTAGCAAGGGCCATTCATGGTATGGCACATAAAGAATTTTTTTTATTATTTTATTTATTTAAAAAAACAAAAACAAAAACAAAAACAAAAAACAAAACACCTGTACAGTCACTGGCTCTGTGTTCCAGAAGACTCTGCTTTGCTTGTTACACTCAAAACACCATTTTAAGTGTCTTCTTCTGGCCTCAACTTTCAATCAAAGTGGCTGAGATCTTAAAGCAGTATCGTAACAGCAATGTACACTTTTCACATTTCACAGGGTTTGTAGTTGATCTTTAACATCAGAGAGTTTCCTGGGAAGGATCAGTGAGAAAATAACAACTATCCTTCTCTTTTACTTGTTTTTACTTTAGATTTTGACAAGGTGTTCAATGGATGGTATTATAACTCTTTCCTCTTCATTTTGTTTGTTTTTTGTTTTTTCTTTCTTCCAAGTGGCTTGTGAGGGTAGAGGGGGAATGGCTGAGCTATACCCTAGTCGTCGAATGTCCATGGGGCAAATTTGTACTGTTTTGTCCTCCACTGAAGGTGTTGAAAGTATGCAAAGGCTGCATTCCTGTTAACGTATTTGGAATCATGGTTATGGTGTTGGGTGTCATTAGCGGGATGTCGTCTGGGGACCTTCTCAAAGTAAGCGTGTAGTCAGGCGGACAGGTTAGTCTCAGTGTGTCATGGGCCTGCAGCGATTCACACTCGTGGTCATGTTCTAGCTGTTTCATCTGCAACGACATAATCTCTTCATTTTGTATGTGTGCAATATCATTGGTTGTGTTCCTCTGGGGGCTAGGGCGCCTGTGAGTCTCGTGACGCCGCTTGTCCTTCTTGTAATATAATGCAGCAAAAGCTAAAATATTGAGGAACAGCAAGGACGCTCCCACAGCAATGGTGACGCTCAGCTCCGTAGAGTAATCTCGCTTGTTTTCTATCAGAACTGTCGTATCCTCCAGAGCTGTTTTATGGGTGTCTTTTGAATGTTTGGGATTGTTGGCAGGTGTCATTGCTGGGCGTTTGGTGGCTGGCCACAATTTACCAGGAGAACGTCGTGTCACATATGGAAATGATGTCATGTCAGGAGGGGGGACTTTAGTTGTTGTGGAAACGTACTGAAATATTTCATTCAGGTTGTGAAGGTGCGGTACAAGCTCCAACCAGAAAGCGACTTTTGTTGCTCTGTAGTGATCACGAACTCGGGGTTTCAGGCCAATATGCAGATAAAGCTGGTCTTTAGGATTGTATTTGGACCAGGCCACTTCTTCAAAGCGGTTGGGTTTTGTGTGGATGAACTTTGTGTCCTGCGGAACAGGCTGGTTTGGATCTCTACAAAAATAAAAGCAGGCAATATTATAGTCATTAAAAAACAAAAACAAAAGCAAACCTCAAAAACCCCTCCATCCTTTAGTTGATAGTTTATCCAATAATTAACATAACCTAAAAACAGAAGCTAAAAAAACCTCCCAAACTTAACAACAGATGTTAACAAATAAACAAAATGAAAATTGCTTACTGTAAAGGGCATCTCAGACACTATAATACTTTTTTACAAGAAAACAGAGAAAGGGTTGTGTTTCAGCTCCCAAAAGCTCATCTGTAATTCTGTGATTCAGTATCATACTCCAAAGCTGTCTTAGAGAAGTATTACCTACCTTTCCCCAAAGTAAAGGTGTAGATTCAGCTCTTCTCAAGGTTGGACATTAACATTCTCATTTAAGGTACCACTACTTCCACTGCTATTAGTAGTAAATATAGGCATCTAATTCCTATGGCAATGTTGGAAGCCCATGTGGCCATAAGAATTTATACTAGCTGTGTATATTATATAAAAAACTTCAAAACATGAAGTAACAGGGCTAGTACATGCAACTGGGAAATATTTCTCTTTGTGTTCCTTTACTGAGCTATTAGTTCCCTTTCGTTTAAATATCTACTTTCGGGAAAAGCCTTTGAAGTATTTGTACGTCACAAATCTTTCCATCATTTGCATTAGAAAATTACTATTTGAAAATTCCATGTGCTCATTGCTACCAAATAACTACATTTAATGGCCATGGGACAGTGAACCTTAATTCTGTCCCAGTTTGTAGGGATGAGAAATATATTAGCTGAGAACAACAAGTTTTATAGTATTTAAGTAGTAGTAGAGATAAGAGTAGTATACTACTCAGAGATAATTTCAAAATTGGTAACCCAAATATTTAATTGAAACTATGCTTTCCCCATCTTTTCTTCTTTCTTTTCTTCTTACAGGTTCAGAATAAAGACAAACCAATGGCACAAAAAGCATTTAAATGTGGTTAAAGTCTATGTATCCTTATAATTTTGGTAAACCTTATGTAAGTATTACTTCCTCTTGGCATGAAAAAATACAGAAATTTAAAATTACTAATACCGAGTTTAATATTCTGTTGTGCATGAGTTTGAATCTTCTTTTGCAGCAAAGCATATTTTCTGGGACTTTGTGATATATTATACTGAGAGCACGTGATTCATCTTCTGTGCATTATGCTGAGAACTTTCCATTCTTCTTTCCATTCCCATATGCATTAGTTTATTTCCTGTGAAAATGATTCTAGTATTTTCCTTTTCTTCCAATATACTGTTATGTATGTTACGGGAATACCAAGACCCATCAGTACAGATTTTAAAGCATCTTATTTTTTTCTTTTTCCATTTTTAAAAGCTCATGAATATGATTGCTGAGTTTAGCATTCTTTTGCTGTTCATAGAGAGCTATTTCTTAGTTCTTAAACGAGACTGGTAATTTGACTTTGATAATCTCATGATTCCTGTATTCATCTGTTTACCAGAAAGAATTTATCTTACCTTTTTTTGAGTGAAAGGAAGAATTCTTTTTCTATATAACTTTTGTACTTTGGTTTACTTGTGCTTGTGGTTTTACGTGTTTGGGGTTTTTTTGGTTTTGGGGTTTTTTTGTTGTTTTTTGTTTGTTTGTTTTGTTTTGGGTTTTTTTGTTAATGTATTATACTGTATCGAATCTTTCCCATCCCAATAAGATATAAACTAGGGGTTCCAGAACTGTGGCTATTTCATTTATCTATCTATCTATCTATTTTTAATTTTAGGTAGTAATCATTAGCCAAACTGTGTTAATTCTGAACAAAAAGATAATTGCTTAGTAATTGTTCGTCCTAGTTGACACTAGAGGAGTAATATCCACTTCGAAAAAGTACAGCAGCAGATGTATGCTGCTACTTTGAGGGATTCTAACATGCATTCAAGAAGGAAATAAAAGTATTTCTTTTGTTCTTAAAGAACAGACTGAAAGATTTGGCAAATCCAGAGGAGAAAATATTGGCCCAATTCAATGTATCAACTACTACAGTACATTGAGATTCAAGCAAATTAAAAATCAGCAAGATTGTCAAAATGCAAAGCATTTTTCTTGTCAGAAACTCAAAATCCTGCAGAAGTTACAACACAAAATCCACCTTGTGTTCTCCCCACTTGCTGTTCTGATTCATAGCACAAAAGACTCTGGGAAGGGTCCTACAGAAGACATATAAATTAAACTAGCTCGTTTAAATGAGTTGCACTTGATACACAGTACAGGAGATGAAGAAGCTGAGCACTCATTTCAATGAGCCAAGCTGGACATGTACTTTTTCCCTATTCTTTTTTTTTTTTAATGGCCCTATAAAAATGACAGCAGATGATGATTTTACCAACTAAACATTTTTTAAATTAGCATTCTCTTCCCCTACAAAGAGCCTATAACTTTTATAGTAAATATCAACCTACCTTTCCTTTCCCTCTCTTCCATTCTCTACCTCCATCTCTCCTTTTTAACTATATCTATTGGGAATAGGCAATTATGTTGCTGCCTCCTCCAAACACAAGAGAGAAAATTACATTACATGAGGCTAGTCTTGTATTTCAGGATTTGTTTACATAGCTATGTGTGGGCATGAAGCTGTCCATTGAAACAAGGAACAGAAAAAAAATCAGCCAGCCCTACAGACAAGTCATTTTTTTGCTGAGGATATCAGAACTCTACCATTGGCATCAACTCTAAGGCTGATCACTTAGTAACTGAATAAATGGTCTGAATATTCTCTCTGAATTTAGAGGATAGGTATTTTTTTTTTCCCCCCACAAGAAAATGGAATAACTAAGTCCAGTCCTATATAGAGGATCTAATAATGCATGCATCTTGGTTTTACAGTGTCCTGGTTTCAGCTGGGATACAGTTAATTGTCTTCCTAGTAGGTGGTATAGTGCTGTGTTTTAGATTTAGGATGAGAATAATGTTGATAACACACTGATGTTTTAGTTGTTGCTAAGTAGTGCTTATACACAGTCAAGGCCTTTTCAGCTTCCCATGCTCTGCAAAGTGCACAAGAAGCTGGGAGGGAGCATAGCCAGGACAGCTGACCCAAACTGACCAACGGGGTATTCCATACCATATGACGTCATGCTCAATGTATATAAGCTGGGGGAGTTGGCCAGGGGGCAGTGATCACTGTTTAGGGACTGGCTGGACATCGGTGGGTGGTGAGCAATTGCATCATGC